GCTGGCCTGGGCTAGGTTTGAACCTGTGAGTCCTGGTGTATATGGCTGGTGCCATAACCACTGTACTACTGGTGCCGCCTATAATTTTTTTAATTAAAAAGACTGGCCACTTTTTTTTGCATTGGCAAGAGTGCAGAGGAACTGGCAGTTTTTATACATGGATGAGGTGAAAATAGAATGCTACAACCACTCTGGATGTCAGTCTTGCAGTTTCTTAAAAAGTTAAACATATACCTAGATCTAGCCATTCTATTTCTTAAATATTTGATACAATTCAACAGTGAAACCATCTGATCATGATGTTTTTCTCTGTTGAGTAGTTTTTGATAGCAAATGCAATTTCTTTTTTTGTTTGTTTGTTGTTGAGACAGAGTCTCACTCTCTTGCCCAGGCTAGAGTGATATGCATGGCGTCAGCCTAGCTCACAGCAACCTCAAACTCCTGGGTTGAAGTTATCTTCTTGCCTTAGCCTCCCCTAACTATCACAATGCCTTAGCTGATTTTCCACTTTTTAGTAGAGACAGAATCTTGCTCTTTGCTCAGTCTGGTCTCTACCTCCTGAGCTCAAGGGATTCTTCTGCCTTGGCCTCCCAGAGTGTTAGGATTAGAGACAGGAGCCACCATACTCAGCCTATAAATTCAATTTCTTAAAGAAAAGATAGACTCTCAAATATTTTATTTCAGCTTGTATTAGTTTTGGTAAGTAGTACTTTTCGAGAAATTTGTTATTTTCATCTAAGTTGCTGAAGTTATCGGGATATTTCTTTACATTTTCTTTTTATGCTTTTGATATCTGTAGAATGTGTTGTGATATTCTTTTCATTCCTGATATTAGTAATTTGTGTTTCCTCCTTTTTTTCTTAAGCAGTCTTAGTAAGCGTTTATACATTTTGTCTTTTCAAAGAACTAAGTTTTGGTGTTGTAAATTATTGTTAATGTTTGTCTACTTCCTACTCTACTAATTTCTGGTCTTACCTTCATGGCTTAAAATTTAAAACAATCAAAATTTATTCTCTCACAATTCTGGAGGCTAGAAGAACAAAATCAGGGTGTTCCCAGAGCCACTCTCCTGCTGAGATTCAGGGAATCTTGCCTCTTTTTGTAGCTTCTGGTGGCTTCCAGAAGTTTAAGGTGTTTGTTGGCTTGTGGCTGCATCACTGCATCACTCCAGTCTCTGGCTCCAGCTTCACAAGTACTTCTTCCTTCAGTAGTTCTGTGTGGCTTTTTGTCTTTTTAGGGTGTACTAGTATCCATTATGACCTCATTTAAATTTTTTCACGTTCCCCATTTTATTTATATTTTAAGACTAAGTATAATCTCAAAATCACATATCCACACACCTATTTCCTTTTTGTTGA